TTGTCGCCTTGGTTATGAACGCAGTTTGGCTGACGCTGAATAACATAGTAGTTGTGTCCCCAGCTGTTCGGGCTTTTTAATCCACTGGCATTCCGCATACCGGCAGTCTTGAGGTGACAGGGTGAGACGGTGAAAGCCACAAAACCTAGTTGCCTGTTTCATGGTGCCGAAACATTTCACGGAGATGCTCGTGTGCAGACATCATCCCTTCTGCCGTGGTGTTCAGTTCTGACAGGGCTGTGTGACTCATTAGCACATGTAGTAATTGGGAAGCCCAGACAGCTCACAGGCGTCGGTTGCTTATACAAAGTGGTTCTAGTCATCTTAGGAGGAGAATCTCAAATTTCAGAGATCCTATTTTTAACGGCGACCCTACTGTAGCAAAAATGTGGTTACTACTGCTGAAGCTTCAGATCGGATTTATTGAGTTTCCCTGTAAAAATGAGATGTTTCCATATAGAGACTTGTGTGTGTAAGCTTTCCTCTCCTGGCCATGAACCCTTCAGTCTCTGAGGTTTGCTGCCTCTGTTCTAACCAAATTTTGTGTTGGGCCATCCTGAGCCAAACCCTGTGAGAAGCCCCAGAAGACTCTTCTTGTTCCCAGTAGTATCTCTCTGTCAGCCAGGCTTCTAATGAGTACAGATGCCATTCTTCAGTGTCGTAGAGATCTATACTTCTAAGTATTTTTGGAAAGCTCTGTTTGCAAAAAAGACATTTTCATTTATCTAGATGACAGGTTAGGGGAGGGAGAAATTCCTCTAGCAAAATTTTTCTTCCTTTCATCTGATTTACTTGTCTAAAACATTCCTACACCCTTCCATGAGGCTTACTAGTTAACGCTAACTATTCAGAGAAACATGAAACTTTTTACAGTCTCTTCTTAGTGTTCACTAGGAACTATAGCTCAGATTAAAACTGGGATTTGAGTAGTAATTAATTAAATGTCTTAGCCAGCAATGGGATCATTTGAGAGTTCAAAGACAGCCATTTAACTTCTACATTTAACAGAAAAAGATGCTTTTAAATTTACTTAAAAGACAACTCAGAATCCTGAAGTAAGTGTTAAGTCCAGGCTTTGTCAGTCCAAGTACTGACACGTAAATGCAGTATGAAAAGCAAGTCTCTAAGAAATGTAAATTGTTCAGAATTTGAAAAAACAAAACAAAACCTGAACAAACTCCTGAACAGTGTAAAGCTGTTGTATCCAATCCAAAGTCAGATTGGAAAGAAGTACCTGAGTGCTCTAATTTGCATGCTTAATAGGTAAACAGCAAACAAAGATCATAAGCAACCCAAACCCCATCCTCTGCTGAAAGCTGTTTTCATATTTATATCCAAAGGTGCTAATTCTTAACACCATTAAAAATACATTGAGGAATTATTTTTGCACATTTCCCAATTTGTGTGTAGAGATACTGTACAGATGTTTAAAAAAAACCAAAACAAATCACTTTTGAAAAAGGCTGCCTTTGTTTCAGGTGGAAACATGAAGGGGAGATGAACAATTCTTGAGATTTATAATCAACTTATGTGACTGTAGGTTTGTTCTTTGTATTTCATTTTCTGTTGGTTTGGTTTGGTTTTTTTCCCAAATGAAATGGCATAATTTTAAGTAGAGATGCTACTGGTAAGCGGAACTCCCGTCTGTTCTTCAGAACTGAAGCTGTACGGTTCACAGCTGGGAGACCCCAAGATGGTTTGTGCTTGCTCAGCATTCTAGGCAACATGCACAATAAATTTGATAATTTTGTATTAGTGGAAGAGATACTGGGCAGGGTTATCGCTGAAGCTTACAGAGTGCACATGTGCAAGACCCTTGGGTCAGTAGTCCACTGGCAGTCTGTCCGTCTTCTTGTCTGTACTCCTGTCGTTGTGCTTGAAAACTGAAACCAGGAAAGTCAGACAGGAAGAATTCTTAATGGTTCAAGTGTACTAGTCCTGTACTTACTTAACTGTGTTCCCGTTCAGACCTGTAACCTCTGCAAGTCTCTTTTGTGTCGGGGTATTCAACTATTCAAAACAAAGCAGTTTTGTATTGTTTTCTAGTTTTTAAACTCAAAACTAAGCACACAGAAAAGACAAAAAAATAAATCGCTTAATAGTTACTCTTACTCTTTGGCTTTTTTTTTATTATTTTTGCAATTTATTGTGGTAACTGTATTAAATAATTCCACATGAAGCTCTAAGTGTGCTTCATTGTCCTAGCAGTAGTGAGAGCTTCTGAGAAATCACAGCATGGAAGAGGTTGAGAAACTGTCAACTGGCTGTATTTTCCTTAGATATGGTATTTTTTTCCATAAATACTGTTTTTAGATATCTGTACACAGACATTCAACCTCATGCATAGCAGCTCTTTTCACCATGGGATTTACACATCATAAACTTCAGCAAACTTCCAACAATTTGCCCACAGAGAAGTTCTATGGCAAGGGGAATTACTTTCTTTTTTTCCCCTGCCCTGATGACTTGTTCTGAAAAGGAGTATTTTGGTCTTTTGCATGTGCTGTTTTTAAAATCAACATCAGACCTAGTCCTTAAAAAGTAAAAAGTTTAATTATTTGCTAAAATCTATTAAACCTATCATATAACCTCCAGTGTGTAAGTATTTTAACTGATGGAAACTTGGCAGTGTGTCCCATAATGAAGGCTTTTTCCAACCAGACCACTTTTCTTGCCATTGTAAACCGATGAATTCATTGCCATCGTGGGTACAATTTCTGAATAATGCTTTTTCTGAAATAGTGTGGCCTAGAAAAGCTTCCTAGCTCGGAAGCTGCATGATCACGATGCCATTTTAAGTATGTTTTGAAAACGTGTGGTAGAGTTGATGTTGAAACGCATTGGGCTCCCCATGGCTCTCTTGATTCTGGAACTGCCACAGATGTAGACTAAGCTGGTGGTTACCTTTGACAAAAGTCTGCCTGTTCCTAAATTGTAATGGTCTAATTTTCTTACTGTCAAGCAATTCTCAAACTATGGGTAGGAAAAGTTACTCAGAAACTTCTGCTTAATATAAATGTTTTGGTAAATGAGCATGAAATCCTTTGAAAGTAGGACCACTCACTTTACTTTCTTGGCTTGGCGGACAGTAGAAATATTTAGTCCTAAAGCTTTTCATAAGAAACTGAAATAATTGTGTTCATTTTCAGCACTGGGCAAGAGCCCAGTAGCTGTACTCTACCTGACGTTGGTCTAACCTGTGTGATGTGTGTGGAAGTTGGACAAACAAGTCCAATAAAGGATCATAAGAATGTGCCTCCCACGGCTTTGTTTCTTCTCCTTGGTCTATAATGTCAAGCAGGGCTTTAAAAAGCCCTGACAGGCAGAGGTAGGAAATAAGCGGTTTGGATAAAATAAGCTGGATTCAAATAAACTCTTGAGCTTTTAAAATGTTCCAGAGGGAAATCGCTGTATTCGCTGTTTGGTTTTATCCATTGCCAGTGTTGGTAGTACTGAAATAACATGGAAGAGATTATTCTCACAGTAGTATTTTTAACTCAAATGGATTTTTTTACTTCCTGATTGTATATAAAAATCTGCTCAAGTTTGTTTGTTTTGGTTTTTTTTTTTTTTCTGGGAAGCAAAAAGAGATTTTTTTCAGCAACTTTACCTACCCATTTTGTATGTATTTTGTATTTGTTATTGTTGAGTATAAATTTTATGTGACTCCTGTTAGCAGTAAAGCATAATATCTAAAATATTACATATGTGATGAAACATGTAGAAGTATGTACATAGACAGTTCTAAGGCTGAGATTTTAGTCTCTAACTTGTGATTCTCTTGACTTTCTGCTGTATGTTTTGCATTCATTTGTTGTGGATTATTGAAAAGAAGTAATTAAGATGGGCTGGTGGCTGCAGCACAAAATAAAATCAATGTATCAGATGAAAAAATATAGGATATGTGCCTCAAGATAACAAGCAGCAGCAGGGTTCATGGATGCCAGTAACAGTTCTGGGATTAAAAGCAATATAGTCACTTCAGTGAAGCCCTCCACTGAGTTCAATAGCCCCGTAAGAAGGAAGAGCTTGGCTCACCCAGTTTTTCTATGCGTAGCTGACATCAGTGAAGCGTGCAAAGTTGTGCTCATGTAACTGGAAGCAGGAATTTCTCTGTTCTCAACACCCAGCCTTAGTAAACTCAGTAGATGCATTTTCCTGCAAAATTGTTGTGTGTTCTAAAGTTGTTCTAAACAGAAAGGAAAGTTCTAGTCTATATTTATTATGAATGGTTATTCATAAACGTTAGTTGAGTGAGTACCTCAGAGATCAGAAATAAAGTTAGGTTCTTCCCATCATTGATGAGGAAGGAGTTATACTCTGATTTTTAAGGGATTATGGCCTTTCTTACTAAAACTGCAATGTGGAATGCATACCAGATCCTCCACATGTGTAGAAATTATATAGTCCAACATTTCCTCATTCATGCCTTTGTGAAGAGGGAGGCCTTAGATGTATTCCAAGGACTGCAGCTCCGATTGAAAACCTGTTTTTTCCTTGCACCACCAAGAAAAGGGGTAAATGATTCTTCACAGTGTAGTTAGACCGACAAGTAGAATTAGATGAACTGCTAACTGCATGATATATGTTCAAGGCAAGTATTGCTGGTAGGTTCCTACCATTCTTGCTCTGAATGGAATGCATGGTAGCTGCCTCTCAAATTTCTAGCTCTGCAATAGTGTAATTATTCAAATTAGTATGAAGAGTTTGTGGAGCCATCAACATGCATTCAAAACAGCATAAAAAGAGAGAACTGTGTTTGATCTTCAGCTATGAATGACCTGTTATATTTCCATTAAGAAAACTGTTATAAATGGAAATGTAAAATGAAAGAAGCTAATGCCATGGCTGATGTTGTATTTGTAGAGCCAGTTTAGTTTTGCAGAAACAATACCATTAGTATTAGCAGTACTTCTGTGGTGTGGTATGACACCAGTCAAAGCCCTTATATAATGTCTTGTCCTTTTCTCTCCTTTTCATTGTTGCTTATCTCTCCGCAGTGCTGCACACCCAAGGTCCCATCGATGGTAGTCTGTATGCAAAAGTGAGGAAGAAGAGCTCTTCGGACAGCAGCATCCCTGGTGTTGCACAGGGTGTTCCCGTGACTGGCAGTCCTGATCACAGCGATCACACCCTGTCTGTCAGCAGTGATTCAGGACACTCAACAGCTTCCATCAGGACAGACAAGACTGAGGAGCGCCTTGTGCCAGGAGTCAAACGGGGTCTGAGCCCACAAGAGAAGGCAGAACTGGACCAGCTACTTAGTGGCTTTGGTCTGGAGGATTCTGTCAACACCACCAAGGATATGACTGATGCTCGAAGCAAGTACAGTGGGACTCGCCACATAGTGCCAGCTCAAGTTCACGTGAATGGAGACACTAAACTGAAGGACAGGGAGACTGATATTCTGGATGACGAAATGCCTAATCATGACCTTCACAGCGTGGACAGCATTGGGACTTTGTCTTCCTCAGAAGGGCAGCAGTCCACCCACCTAGGGAACTTCAGTTGCCACAAGAGCAGCCAGAACTCGCTTCTTTCAGATGGCTTTGGAAGTAACACTGGGGAAGAGCATCACAATGCTTTTGCCCCAGACCTGGGAATTGGCGTGGATCCCCTCTATGAGAGAACATTTGGAAGCACTGAGCCAAAGTCAACTCAGCAATTGCAACAGAATCCTTCTGTCTCACCCCAGCCTCAAGCCTACGGCCCAAGTAACTACTCTACTCAGACCTGGGTACGCCAGCAGCAGATGGTCACCGCTCACCAATACGGTTTTGCCCCAGAGAATGAAATCAGGGTTGGCATTCATAACACGATGGAGAATTCGGGCAGTGTCCAGAGCCAGTCCCGAGTCCCGGACACCCCGACACGTGGCTCCAGCAGCAGAGATGCTGTACAGAGGGGGTTAGGAAGCGTGCCAGCTGCTGCTGAAGTTGCAGAACATGCCGGTACCGAGAGTTTTAAGTCAAGGCCAGCGCCTCAGAGGGACACAAATGGCCTGGATCTAGGACGGAACGCAGGGGACTTGCCAGCTTCTCCGACTTTGGATATTGATCAGTCCATTGAACAACTGAACAGGCTGATCTTGGAGTTAGACCCTACATTTGAACCTATCCCAACCCGCATTAACACTGTCACCAGGGACAGAAATCAAGTAAATGGCTTCACCAGCCTTGATGTAGATGTGGAAGGGCTTGGCAGGAGTCCTGGCTTCCATGACAAATTAGAAGTCACAAACAGGAATCCCTCCCGGCATGGTAAGCTTTCGTAATACTTTCTGAATATAATGCTTTTCCTAGCACTTGTGTGTTCTTGATATGGTACAGCAGGACCTCAGGTCATGACTTAAAACTTTCAGGATGATTATCAAGGCATTATTTCTGATACCGTCATTACATAACCATCCAAGAAATGATGGAGTCAAACTGATGTAAGATAAGTGAGTTTTGCAGGTACCTGTTTTTTGCTTGAAAAAAGTACTGTTCAGCAAATTCTTACTTGTTATAGATCATCAGTTGGGATTTTTTTGCTGCTGTAAGTTTAAGTGATAAGGGAGCAGAATTCCTACAATTCCTACATTGAGACGTTTTTAGAAGGCATCTGTAGTGAAATGGTTTATGATTTATGATTATATGTTTTTTATTATGTTGATTTTTTATTATTTCCACTTAAAGTAGGAGAAAAAGCTCCAACAATTTTATCTTCAGTTTAATTTCAGACAAATTAAACTTTTATGCAGTATTTTCATAAATAACGTAATCTTTGTCAGCAAAGTATTTTACAACATCTGCTGTCTGAAACTTTTTTTCTGTTTAAAAATTCAGAAGTCACAGTGCTTGCTTGTTATCTCTGGCTCTGATAGGATTGCAGAAATCAACCAGTGGATTTAAATACACAACACTTGCTGACTATGTTGCCTAAGTAATGCTACTAGAATTAGCAGCTTTGCAAAAGGATGCGTAGTCCATCTCTGCTGAAGTCCACTGAAACCCTTCATTAATGCTGTAGCTAAAATTTGTGACAAACAAGCTCTTGCTGGTCTTGCCGTGATGTTTGGAAATTCTGTGTGGTCTAATTCCTCTGGCAGAACATAGCCCCTTCCCTTCCTTCCCTCCCTCCCTTCCTTCTTCCTCTTCTCCCTCTTCCTACCTCCAGTCGTGGTGCAATGAAAGGCTTGCTTGTGTCTCCAGGACTTGATGCAGTATCAGCCAAGACGCCAGAACACATGTCCGTGGGCTCATTGGACACAAACGAGCTGCTTCAGTTCAAGCCCAGTTGGATATGCCAAACCATTCGATGATGACTGTGCCTAATTAGTGTGTGGTTTCCATTAATGTGCACGCCTATGTGATCAAGGATGGTGATTCTTGTAGAGAAGGTGAAATCACAATTTTGTGTTTAGGAGGGTTACTGAGGACTAAAGAAGTCCAGAAATACACAATGAATATATGTGAGCTGCCTCACTGTTTGTTTGCTTTTAGTACACAGTATGCATTTTGTGGCTTTTACAGGATTAAATTCATTAGTTTGTAATTCTCTTGAATCTTTCCAAATGATTAGCTGATGGACAAATTGAAAATGAGATTTTTTCCAGCAGGAGAGAGCTCTTTTTTTTGGTACACAGTTATACAGTAAAGCTAGGGTCATTTAGAATAAGCCACCTTTTACAATTCTGTGTTTAAAGATATGAATCTGGAAAGAGATGTTTGAATTTTTCTCACAGATTCTGGTTGTCTCCCAAAGGAAGTAGGAGTCACTGTCGGTTCCTTTCCATTTGTAAAGTCAGGGAAAGCAGGTAAACCTCCTGCCCTAATAAAGACTGGTGAGAAGACGAGTCCTTGGGGCATGTTCTGGAAGAGGATTTGTTTTCAAGATAGTGATGAATTTGGAATTAAATATGAATATACAGGCAGCATCTAGAATCCTGGGTAATTTTATGGGGGCAACAGGCCATAGTACGGAAGAGGAAGGAAGGAGTTAGGAGTCAGGAAGCTCCTTCACTTTTTGTCATGCCCTTGCCTTTGACAAGGCATTTCTCCTTCATCAGTCTGAGCAAGGGAAAAGGAGGGTTAATGTTTTTTCCATTTGTTTTTTTTAAACCTGTCTCTCAGAAATATTGAATATGCTTACAGGATGTTTACATCACACTGAGCTTCAAACATAACCTTACACATACTGATTCCTAATCCACATCCAATTCAAGTCAATAGGAGACCTCTTCAGTGGATTTAATTAGACATAGAGTATATGTCTCTCAAAGTGAGGTGGCGAGCACAGTTTGTATGCTGAAAGTGGTATGTAAGTGCTAATTGCTATCAACTGCAGCTCTGTTTCTGACATTGCATTTTTTCCCCATACCCTCTATCTCTGCTCCAAAGCAACACCCACATTCCTACTGAAATCACAGAGTCACAGTGTGGTTGAGGTTGGAGAGGACCTCTGAAGATCATCTGGTCCAGCCCCCACACTCAGGCAGGGTCACCTAGAGCCAGTGGCCCAGGACCATGTCCAGATGGCTTTTGACTGTCTCCTATCTACAGCCACCAGTCTGGGCAACCTGTCCCAGTGCTCGGTCACCCTCGCAGCAAAAAAGTGTTTCCTGATGTTCAGAGGGAACCTCCCGTGTTTCAGCTGGTGCCCATGGCCTCTGGTCCTGTCACTGGGCATCACTGAAAAGAGCCTGGCTCCCTCTTCTTTGCACCCTCCCTTCGGGTATTTATAGACATCGACGAGATCCCAAACACGCTTTCATTTAATCAAGAATTTACAGGAGGAATGCCATTCAGTATTTTGTGGACAGTTCTGCACTCTACCAAATCATGGGTACTTCTGCATGATGTTTTATTTCAGCACACTTCTCTGGCAAAAAGGCTAATTATATAAGGGACAGTCAGGGAGCGAATCAACTGTTTCTTGGGTCTTTAAGCCTTAAATTTTTGCTTGGAGGAAGTACTTATTCTAAAAGTAAATAGTAAAAGTATTCTAAAAGTACATTATTACTGACCTGAAGTCAGATTCTGTTGAAGTTCTCACAAAGCCTTTCATTGACATTAGAGACTTAAGGAGGGAGGTGGCAAGTAAAGGGATACACTTGCATTTTTAGGGCCCAAAATAAATGAATGAACTGTATCTAGAGTTTAAGCACTGCAGAGAGTCTAAAATGTACGGAATCCAGGATATAAGATGCAAGACTGGAGGCTTGTGTTGGCCTCTAGTCTTGGCTTATGTCGTTGAGATTTATGGACCTCATTCTAGTCATATTTATAGTGACTTGGGATGTTTATGTTTAGGAAAGTTTCCTTTAAAAGTTTAACCCTTAAAGTGCTTTCTCTTAATTTTCCTTCTATTTTTTCAGGGCCTTATGCTGTCAGTGTTGTTTAGGTTGGTTAGCATCTTCTAGCCTTAGTAGTGTCTTGAAACAGGGTGCTAGTATAAAACTGTTGGATATTCTCAGCTGAAGTCTGTTTATGGTGGTCCTTGTTGAGAGGTTATAGTTCATTTCATCAAAGGCAGCAAAACTGAATGGGTGCTTTTCCTTTCCTCCAGCTCCTAATTTGGGGGGGGGGGGGGAAGGAGGTGTTACTAGTTGACATTTCTGGGGCTGTAGGCTAAAGCACCATCATTTTCAACAACTGCTGCTTCAGAGGATGGCATCTTCTGGTAGAAGAGGCAGAGTAGGAATAGTAAGGATTTAGATATTTTAATTTAGTCAGGACCTTCAGGCAGCTGAGTGCATTTGAGTGCCCTGAAGTTTAAAGACCTCTACTCATGGTTAATATAGGTAGTAGTGTCTTGAGGAGTTTCCCTTGTGTAATGATCACGTGCCTTGCTCTTGAGTGATAAGCAGCAATTTTAGATGTGTGTTGAGTCCCTTGTCTGCCCTTCGAACCCTTTGAGTATATTTGTTGTGATTAACAGTGCAATTTATGTTGTGTGTAATGCGATTGAAATGCAGCAGAGTGTTCCCAGGAGAGGTGGCCTTACGCTACCTCCGTGACTCTTGGACACGCGTTACCCCATTCATCTCTGCATCAGGTCTGGTAGCTCTGCAGCGGTGGGGTTTGTTGGATTAGCTTGTTAATTTAATGGTTTGAAGGGTTAGTTCCCTGTCAGATCGAAGAGTTAAACTTGCAATGTGGACAGGTAATCACTAAACACCATGTGCAAAAAGAGTGGTGCGGGGACATGGCTGGAGGTGGGGGGCAAGCAGAGCGGCCACCTTAGCAGCCTTTAAACCAGATAGAACAGGTTTATTCTGAAACTGTGTACCTATATCTTTGTGATAGGACCTGATCTGTAGGAACTTCACTGTGAGGAACACAGTTATTCCATTGTATTACCAAACACCATTAGGAAATTATGATTAATACTGGGACAGAGGTATAAGAAAGGTAAACTAAGTATTTTAGGGCATTAGCTCCAAGAATTCACCTGTCATTTTCTGCATGTGCTTCAGTATGTGATACTGGAGTAAGTAACATAAGAATAGCATTTAATTAAACAAAAGATTTTTTTGAAAGAAATATTCCTTCGTATAGCTTTAGCACAAGAATAATAATTTTTTAAGTTTGCCTTTATGTCAAGTGCTAAAATGTTCTATTTCTGACTTTCACAAGTATCATTCAGTTTATACTAGTAAGAGCTTGATCTTAAAACTGCCCATGGTTCGAAAGGGAAACCAATATGTGTATGTGGCATGTTGCCACCTCTGCTTGGGACTAGGAGGTTACCAGCACATACTGATTTTCCAAATGCTGTAGGAATTATTTATTTACATATCTGGACTTGCCCCACAGCTGTCTACAGAATCATTTATGCATGGTGTGCCCAAAACAACAAGGGGAAAAAGCAGTTTGGCTGAATGAATGTTAAGAATGAGGAAGACCTGCAATGTTTTTCCATTGATAGATCATCTGATGGAAAGGGAGCATTCTAGCTGCAAGGAGAAATTATGAGTTGGGATAGTCAGATGGAAGCAACAGGAGTATAATTTCATGTCTTATCCGAATCCAGATGATGGTCATAGTTCTGAGCGAGAACATAAAACAGATGTTCTGATGTGTTCTTTCAAACTCTGCATAACACTTCAAAGGAGTAAATCCAAAAGTGTAGTCCAAACATCACGATATTCTGCTAGGCAGACAACTGAATACTGGAAAAGTAACGTACTGTTTGCAGAAGCCCCTACCTCCTTCCAAACCTCAGCTGTATGAGAAAATTGGTAAATAAACTGAAACAGCAAAATTAGTCTATTTTG